TTTGTCTAAGTAGGTGCTCTGGTTTGTCTAGTAATTTTTATTACTTTGACTAACTGAGGCCAAAAGATGCTTGTTGATGGTGTGTGTTACTGTATTTAGTGGCCATTAGACTTGAGACATGTTGTTTTAACTTCTCTACACCTCAGGTTTCCTTGTCTATATAAAATGAAACATTGATGCCAGTTTCATAATGCCTTTTTAAAAATTTGTTGTTGAACACAATACTTTTATTTTATTTATTTTTATGTGGTGCTGAGGATCGAGCAGAGTGCTCTCACATGCTAGGTGAGCACTCTACTGCTGAGTCACAACCCCAGCCCTTCATAATGTGTTTTAAGGAGTATTAGAACATCACATTGGGGGAGAGAACTGACATGTAATTATTTAGTTAACTAGGAGGGACTTGTTAATGATACTATTACCAAGTCTATAATAGTTACCAAGAAAGGCAAGGGAGAAAGAGGATAGAAAAAAATTAGGAACATGAAATTTCTGCAAAATGATATTTTATTATTGTATCTTGAAAGTTGGTAACTTCAAAAAACAGGACAACTTTCCTTAAACTCTTAATTGGATTACAAGAACACAATTCTGGAGTTAGGCAGTCTCGATTTGAATCATATTTGATAGATATGAGAGGCTTTGTGTCTTAACAACTTAGTGATCTTAGGCAAGTGACTCAACTTGTCCAGTCCCATTTCTTCTTTTGCAAAAAGTATGTTGTCTGCTTCAACAAGGTTTTTGGACCACTCAGAAGTAGTCTTGGAAAAATGCTGAGTTGAGCCTGGCACTTGGTAGGTGTTCAGTACATGGTCCCTGGTATTTTTGCTACATTTGACTTTTTTCTTTTTAAAGGATTTTTTTTTTTTCCTGATAATCGAAAGAAGGTAGAGAGACTTCTGTTGGTTCTCATAGGAAAAATAGGGCAAGTGCATTAATAATTCAGAAAGAAACAAGATGGCCTTCAGGTGGCCTGTGGCAGCCTACCTGTGCTTAAAATTGCCTCAATTTGCCAAGTCTGGAATGAGAATCTTGCAGCTTTTGTGGATTACATGGGGGCAAGGGCCAGACTGCCTATATCCTGAGGCCATCTCTGTGGTAGCCCGATAGACTAATTCACCAGTAGGAGAGGAGTACTGAACCCATGTGAAGTAAAGTTCTAGAAGCAAAGAATATTGGGTTTATAATCCTGTGAATATTAAGCATCTAATACATACCTTGTGTTGTTTGTGCATTGTGTGCTCACTATGGGCTAGGCATTGGGATTTGCAGAGATGAATAAAACATGAAATTATTCTCAGGAAGTTGTTGACTGTGTTTCTGAGCATATCTGTTAGAAATGAGATGGGAAAATAAACAGACCTTTTACACAATCACTGACAGGATCATGTGACACATGCACTTTGCTCTCCTGGAACGTTGCTTGGAGAGCTTTGATTTAATAGCTCTTTTTTGGCCACTGTCTGTACATATGTGTTGTCTTTGGTATGTGCTGCAGACACTAGGATGAGGAAAGGCAGAGGCTGAGTTGGCCCCGTGTCTTGTGTGTGTGGAGGTGTAGGATGCTTATCAGAGGACTTTAGGTGGGAGTGGAAGGTCAGCATTTAAGCCTAAAATACTTTCTGGACATTTTTTTTTCTGATTGAATTTTAGTTTTTTTTTTTTTTTTTAAAGTAAATGTGCTTGCTTCTTTTTATTATTTGAGGGTGTTTCTTCTCTAGATTTGATTCTGTTACAGGCTTAAAAGCAGTAATTATGAGGCTAGCATTATAGCTTATCTGTAACAGTCCAAATTATCTAGTGATGATCACAGTCAGATGTGATTATAGTAACTCAGAAAGTAGCTTTCTAGAGTCACCACCTGTGATACCACCTGCCCCATCTGCTGAGGCCACTTCTTCAAGGTTACTCCTTAGGACCCTGAGCCCCTTGTAGATGTGTTCCTCTCCTCTAGCCTAATGAGATCTGATGCCTGCCTGGATTGCTCACCATGAGGCTTTTATTTTGTGTGACATCCCATGTACAAAGTTTTGTATCAAAAAATTGTGTTTGTTTTTCTCAGTGAGATTATAAATTCTCAGTAAGAGAGCACAGCTCCCATTGTCTTTTTGTGTTTCCGTTCCCTTCGGCTTTGGCACCATCTTGTGTCAGATATACTCAAAAATCTTCTTCCATCTCCTTGAAGACCTGAGAAAGCCTGGGTGGTATCTGTTGGAATTGGAGTGAGAGCAAGTAGATGGGTACTTGGTGGCTAGCAATCAGGAATCCTGTTTGACCAAGAATGACCTAGAGGAGAGGTCAAGAGGAATAAAGTGAAAATCACTTGTGTCATTCCAGAGGTGCTGTTAGACAGAGGAGCCAAGACAAAACAAAAAGACTCCAAGGCAGCAGCACCTCTGCTTGCCTATTCCTTGCAGATGATGTACCTGGATCAGTGACCATCACTCCTGCCTGTCAGCTGTGGCTGCCGATGGCCACCCATCTTAAAGCAATTCAGTTTCCTTACCAGCTCCAACCAGAATTTGGGATTGATTTCTTAGTTTCTGTGTTAGAGTTCCCCACTAATCTCCAGCCCCACCAAGTTTTGGTGACTCACTAGAAGGGCTCACAGGGCTCAGCAAATAGTCTTACTCATGATGATAATTTACTCCTTCTGCTAAAGGATAACAAAAACACAGACAGCCAGAGAAAAAAGTGAATTGGGTAAAGTCCAGGGGAGTCTTCCAAGGGCCTTTTCCCAGTGTAGTCACACAGGACATGCTCATTTGCCCCAGCAACAAGTTATAACAGCACTTATGAAACACTCATCAGTAGAGCTAACTAGAGACTCAAGTGTCCAAGATTTTTGTTGGGTGTGTCAGGTAGGCACCCTCTGCTTTGCACATTCCAAAATTTCACATTCAGGTGGAACACAGGCATTCAGCATAAGCAACATCATTTTCACAAACAGTTTAGGCACATGGGTACACTTGTCAGAGAATGGTAGGGAGCCTCACAAAATCCAAGTTTTGGATGCCAGCCAAGGGTCACCTTGCAGGCAGACTTCCTAAGGGTAGCTGTCTCAGGTGTGCTGTCTTAAGTCATTTCTGCATAGCCTCTAATTTGCTCTGGCCTTTCTACTTAGCATTTATTGATTTGGAAGGGCAGATTCCTATCAGATAATTTCAGTTGTTGTCTTGTTGGGCTTTGGTCTGTTGCCACTTAGGGAGAAACTTTAATTGGTCTTCTGCTTTGGGGACATTGTTCTACTTTAGGCTACCTGCCTGCAGCATGTGAAGTGCTTCTGCTGACAGTGGACTTGCCGCTTGCTTTGTCCTTTTATCATAATGACTCATCCCTTTGCCCCATTGCCCTGCTCTAGTTGTCAGACCTCTGTCCTGGCAGCTTTTTTCCTCTGTGGTTCCCAGGCAGGCTGTCAGGCCTTGGGGTGCTAATGCCACCCTCTGGCCCCACAGTCTCAGACACATACCTGCCCCGTGGTTGAAGCTGTAGATATGATTGAAATTGACTTGCATTTAAACCTGTCTTACCATTTTGAAACTGTTCCTGGGAGTCTTGCTTTGGGTTTTGAACCTCTTTGCCTTTAGGTTTTGCTTTTTTGTTTCTGTTTCTTTTCTTCTTTGGCTTTCTACTTTTAGTTACCTGGCCTCAAAAATTTCACATGATGACAGTGGTTTGGGACTAATTTTTAAAACTTTCATCTCCTTGTTCTTCTCTGGGCAGATCCACTACAGCTAACCTGCTCCTCTCTATATACTGTTGGTGCCCAGAGGTTCCAAAGCAGTGCTTCCCAGGGGTTTTCCAGATCCTCGGGACCACCTCATTCGTTCTGGCCTCTTAAATCATGTTTGTTATAGGTCATATGTGTCCTCTTGCTTCTGTCTTAAGCTGATTCATTTACACTTGTCTGTAAGGTGACCTGATGGCCTATTTTGAACTATAGTTCCTATTCCATGGTCCTTGCTGAAGCTATTGGCAAATTGATGAAATATGGATTGACTTTGTCACTGATTATGGCTAAACCAAGCTGGTTGTTTGTCAACTTGGCAGTTTCACTAAGTATACCTATTCTTTAGGATCCTCCCCCAACCAAGGTGATGTGGTAAAAGTAGGAACTCACCTGTCTTAAACTGGTCGATTACCAAAGACTTCAATTTCGTGTATATCTTATTGCTGAATAGCACAGAGCCTTTTTGTTGCAATGATTCTCTAAAGGTTGTTTTTGTTTGTGTGTGTGTGTGTGTGTGTGTGTGTGTGTGTGTGTGTGTTTTAGTACTGGGAATTTAACCCAGGGACACTCTATCACTGAGCTACATCCCCAGCCCTTTTTACATTTTTAAGACAGGGTCTCTACTAAGTTGCTGAGACTGGCCTCAAACTTGTGATCCTCCTGTTTCAGCCTCCCAAGTTGCTGGGTTTACAAGTGTATGCAATTAAGCCCAGCTTAAAGTTTAAAGTCTTATACTTGTTTCTGATTTAAGGACTACAGAAAGATGAATCCAGGGGTTGAGCTCCCCAAGTCCTGCAGCTCAGAAGAAAAGGGCTGGTGTGATTGAGGAACTGAGTTTGAAGTTTCATTAATTTCACTTCACTTAAGTGGTCACATGTGATAGTGGCTTCTGTATCGGACAGCATAGTGCTGGAGTTGTACAGGGAAAGGGTTCCAATGTGGTCTCCAAAACCTTGCTCAGATCCTTGCTGTGCTGTCTGCCTATTGTGCCACCCTGGGGGTGCTCCTTAACTTCACAAGGTTGTTTTGAGAATTTGCTATATTCCTCATAAAGGTTTTAGAGGGGTGCTTGGCAGGAAGTATGAGTTTAGTTAATGTTGGCTTATTATGTTTATTCACTATTTTGGAGTGAAATGGTGGTAGAATTCATATGGCATATGGAACTGTTTTCTTCTTTCTTAAACTTTTATGTTTTCTCTCTTTTAACAAGAAATTCCTTGTTTGTTTTTTTTTTTTTGTTGTTGTTGTTGTTTATTTGTTTTTGCTTTAGGTTGCTGCGGCAAGTGGCCACACAGTAGTGTTGGTGGACCAAACAGAGGACATCCTGGCAAAATCCAAAAAAAGTATTGAGGAAAACCTTAGGAAAATGTCAAAGAAGAAGTTTTCAGAAAATCCTAAGGTAATTTCTTGTTATCATTGTCCTTAAGACTAGTCTTCTCTTCTCACTCATCACATTTGTGAGGGGTTTCTACTCATAGTTTACTGTGGGTTTGTTGTTTTGTTTTAAGTTTGTTTTTGGAAAACTCATTTCTTCACAATTTTAGACCAGTATAATAACATCATCAGTAAGCATTCAGGATGTGCTGATGAGAAAACAGGAGAAGTAAGTAACTATATTGTTGTTGGGTAGGATTTGAGTTGAGGAAAATGTTTCTGAGGTGGTAAACTTATTCTAAGGAAGATCAAGAATTTGGGACTGAGGAACAGCCATTTTTTCAAAAGAATAGAAGAGGGAGAAATAGTAATATTTTCTGTACTTGAAAGGTAAAACAGAATGATCAAATAAACATTATGTTTAGACGGAAACTTTTGATATCTTATATGCCTTCTTATGTAAACTAGAGAGGGCAAATCTAGGATGAGTCATTCTCACAGAACCAGGAGGAACTGTTAGGAGGCTGGGAACTCTAAGCTTATTGACTTGTTCTTGTTGGACCTTGTTGCTTTTCCAGCACATTTTGACTTGGGAGTTCACATTTAATTAGAAATATTGCACAAGTCACCCAAATGAATGTGTATTTCCTTTGTCACTTTGTTAAAGTTACTTAGATTGATTATCTGGAGGCTTGGTTGGATTTTTTTCTCCATATACCCATAGAGAAGATTATAAATAGGGAATTTGTTATTTGTTGCTTGTTGCCTTTTTAAATTTCTTTATTCTTGTAAAATACATATGACATAAAACTTGTCATTTTAATCAATTTCAAGTACACAGCTCAATGTCATTAATTACATTCACATTATTATACACTCATCACCTCCATCTGTTTTGAAAACTGTCTTTTGTTTTTAACCAGAAACTCTGTCCATGAAGCAGTAACTTACCATTCCCTCTGTCCCCCAGCACTGGTAACTTCTTATCTACTTTCTGCCTATAAATTTGCTTCTTGCTTGTTCCAGATGCTTCATATAAGTGGAACCATTTAATATTTGTCTTTTGAGTCTAGCTTATTTCACCTAAAGTTTTCGTGATGCATCCGTGTTGTAGCAAGTGTCACAATTCCATCCCTTTTATGGCTAAATAATATTCCATCGTGTGTATATACCAGAGTTTGCTCATCCCTTTATTTATTGATGGGATTAAGAGGCTTTCATTTTTTGGCTATTGTGAATAATGCTAAAACGAACATTGTTGTTTCCATTTCTTTTGGATATATAGTCAATTTCTATATCTATGGGTCCCACATCTTTGGATTTAGCCAATTACAGATAAAAAAAATACTCAAAAAATGTGTTTTTACTGAGAGTTATTCTGTGAACAATTCAGTACAAAATAATCTAGAAATGATATACAGTATATGGAAATAGGTATGTAGGTTATATGAAAATACTGTGTCATTCTATGTAAGGATTGCGGTCTCCTCAGGGGTCCTGGCACTGACTCTCCTCCAGCCCTTGTCACCAGTATTGGGATGAATGTTTATGTATTTGGAATTGTTGGGTTATATGATGGTACCATATTTAGCTTTGTGAGAAACTACCAAACTGTGATCCATAGCGAATGCTTTGGTTTATATCCCCACCAGCAATGTGTGAAGGTTCCATTTTCTTTCTATCCCAGGCAGCTCTTGTTTTTTTCTCCTTTTTTTTTTTCCACCATAGATATCTAAGGTGTGCAGTAGTATCTCATGGTGGTATGATTTGCATTTTTCCTAATGTCTAATCATCTTTTAAAAACTGGAATGGTAGGCATGGAGATAATTTTATTCTCTTCTTGATGAAATCCAAAGACTAAATATCATAAGCAAGTTAAGATCTCCTTTACTTGTCCTTCATGTTCTCAAACATGGTGGGTGTTATGTTGAGGGTTCAAGCAGACAGGTTATGAGAATCCTGCTTGGGTTAAGAGTTAGCAAGGACAGAGTATGTCTGAACCCAGATAGGCTACATTTGCCCTTTTTCTTTCACTCTGCAGAGGTCAGCCTTGGGCTGAGGCTGTGGCCATGCCATAGGGGTAAAAAGATGTCCCGTATGCTCAATTTGCTCAGCTCCTGATTGTTAACTCTTCAGAAGTCTAGTCTGATGTTTTCTCTCCTCTGCTGGGGTCACCATCAGGTGAAGGAGATGTCAGTTTAACTTGTCTGGTTGACATACTGTTTTTAACCAGTGCTGACCAGTATAATAGCTACTAGTTATGGGTGACCATTGAGCACTTGAAATGTAGCTAATCCAAATATAGTCATGCTCTAAGTGTAAACTAGACACATATTTTAAAGACTCAATAGAAAAAAAAATGTAAAGAGTTGATTACATGTTGAAGTGATAGTATCCTAAATTTAAATAAAGTTGATTTCATCCCTTAATTTCTTTTCATTTTAATCTGGCTAATAGAAAATTTAGAATTATCTCTTATCTCACAATTGTGTTTCTGTTAAACAACTGATCTGGCTGTTTATTCCATGATGACTTTGGATGATTTTCTCATTACAACTGTTACAATGCCCTATGGACAAATTACATCTTGAAATAAAATGGCTGCTTATAGAGGCATTGCTTCTGTTTCTGCCCCAACTGAGGTCTGTTTGTGGAACCAGAAGTCACAGGATAAAATGAGACTACAAGATCTTTGAGAGCAGAGATGGTTTCTAGCTTGTTTTTGATGCCAGTTGCTGGCACATGATGAGTGATTAGTTTTTAATATGTTTGTTTATTTTTATGAAGTGCTAAGGATCAAACTCAGTGCTCACACGTGTGAGGCAAGCATTCTCCCTCTGAGCTATAACCTCAGCCCCATAATGAGTGATTATTATTTGACTGCTTAGTTTGGCTTTCCTCTGCCTTCTATTAGAGGGGAGTAGTCTGCACCACTTCTAGATGGATGAGTAGTGCTGAGCTAAGTTTTTGTCCTTTTCTGGAAAGACAGATTGCAAGTTTCATAAGTATTCTGAGAACAAATACAGAAGGCTAGTACAGTAGCTGTGAATAGCACTCCGTTTAGTAACTGGAGCAAAACTAAGAATTGGATAGATCATTACCAACAGAGGACAGTGATAGTTGTGCCAGGTATATGGCAAATGCAAAGAGTCTGGGTTTAGTACCTCTCTGTCCTGGACACCAACACTCAGCCCAGGCCTTTTATAACTCTGTCTGCCTGGGACCTCGTAGCTGTGCCCAGGTGTTCACAGGCAGACTGTTGACCTGTCTAGAATTGCATTGAGATGCCATTGTCTCTAGGCAGAAACACAGTTTGATTTCTCAGGGTGTGTTCAAGTTGTGTCTGAGCATGTTGGTTTCTCCAGCCCTCCTTCCTTCTGTTTTAGGAGCAAGTCCCACCATTTTCCTGTGAACCCAGTGAATGCTCTCTTCTGTTTCCTCCCACTGCATTAGGCTGGTGATGAGTTTGTGGAGAAGACCCTGAGCAGCATATCAACCTGCACAGATGCAGCATCTGTCGTCCACAGCACAGACCTGGTGGTGGAGGCCATCGTGGAGAACCTGAAGGTGAAGAACGAGCTCTTCCAAAGGCTGGACAAGTTTGCTGCTGAGTATGTGACCCCTGAATGTTCTTGTCAGATTCTGAGGGCTCCTTCCCTGGCCTTGAGCATTCCTCCTTGTTTGTTGTTCTGATACCAGGACCACTTCTTTACTACCTTGCAGCTGTTCCAGAAGAGCCAATACCGTTTCCTTTGTCTTCCATTCACCCACTCCCAATTTGCTTCCTGAGGCTTGGGCTACCCTGACCTGATGCTTGTTTACAAATGAGGGTGAAATTGCCTGTTGTTAAGTGGACAGGTCCATTTAGGGACAGGCCTGTATGTTTTTTGCAGCATCCAGATCATGACCCCTCTGTACTGAGAATGGAGGAGGCTTCAGCACGTCCTTAAGAGTCTATCAGTTTCATGTTTCTCTGTATTTGGGGTGAGCAGACAGAATGTTGTCATTAAAGGGAATGTCCTTCTGTCTGTATAGTTCCTCAAGACTCTTCTATTTTGAGTTTTTTCTGGGCTCAGTGAAAACACTCTTGGGAACATTTAAAGGAACACTGACTCCTTATCGGCTTTCACGGCAAAAAAGAGCCACCTGAGTTAGGTGTAGGCTTGCACAGGACCCGGGACTGTTCAGGTAGTGGCATCTCTGGATTTCCCTGAGAATCCAGAACCTTTTATTACGTTCAACCCTTGGCATTTGGTGATTGTGATCCTGAATGATTGATCTGTGCTCTTCTTGTAGTCTGTTTTGACATACTGATTGCCTTTATAGGTTAGACCTGAAAGGCAAAAATAATTCTCAGGGATCCACTAGTGAACAGTTGAGATATACATATAATATCCTGCTAGAATGTCAACCCTCAGAGCTGTGGCACCTGACAGAAAAAAGCCTGTCTTCCTGTCATCTGTATATCACTCTGCTATCTGTGCCTTCAGGCTACAGAAATGTCTGACAAAGACAGAAGACACCCTTGGTACTGGGGTTGACTCCAAGTCAGCATGGGGCCCTCCTGGATATTAAAACACCTGCCCCAGATAGGCATTTTGTCAAAGAATTTGACCTTTGTTACAAGACTGATCATTCCTAGCAACAGCAGCAGGCGTGACTGCTCTCTGGCTGTAGTGGTGGGTAACGAATACATGAGAGGAAAGTCAGGAGGCTGGACTTGTGTCAGCACCAACCACTTTTTGTGACTCCTTTGCTGGCCTTCAGCCATATTTTTCTGCACTCTGTTTTTATTTTAGTTTACCACCACTGTTGAATGCTTCCTAAATTGTTTTCTTTCTTAAGCACATTTATTGAGAAATACTTTGTTCCTGAGTTTTTACAGTTAGATCTCTTAGTGGGAGAAGAAAATAGGTTCAAGTGATAAAGTTCCCAATGGAAGCCCTGATGAAACAGCTTTATCCGGAAAAGAACATGACTTCCCCAGCAGTAGAGGAAACTAAAGGAAAAGTCAGTGGCAACTACAGGCATCTGGAGCCATGTCCTGGCTCTCCCCATTCACAAAGCCTGGACTCCAATCTTTTGCAATCACCATCACCCTCTCTTGTCTTGACACAAAGACCTGAGTGTGATGTTAGTGATCATCATGCTTATGCTGTTATTTTCTTTTAGTGCTTTTAAAAGGACAGTAGTTTGGGGTATCTGAGTATCAGAAAGAGAAAAACAAAATATGATATGAAAGAGTCATGTGTTTCCAGGAAAATATGAGTATTTTTTGTGGAACATAAGATGGTCCTGTGCTTTAATATGTAAAAATCATTTAGTTTGTCCTAAAGAACAGCAGTGTGAGGCTGTTAGGAGCTGAGCCAGCCTGTGCTGATGGGGTAGGGACAGAGGTCTGCTGGCAGGATGTCTGCCTCTTACTGGTAAAACATGCCCTGGACACACTGGGACCAAGCTCAGGGTCCCTTCATTATTTTACCACGTTTGCCTGCATGCTCCCTTTTTGTAGAGGAGTGGCCCTTCAAATGTCCTATAAATGTCTTGTAAATGTGGTGCCTATCACATTATAAGTGTAACATTAGTCTTTGAAATAAACCTTTTTATTTCTTATTTTTGGTACTGTGGATTGGACCCAGGAATGCTTTGCCACTGAGGTATATCTCCATCCTCTTTTTTTTTTTTTTTTTTGAGACAGGGTTTCACTAAGTTGCTTCGGGTCTTGTTAAGTTGCCCTGGCTGGCCTTGTGATTCTCCTGCCTCAGGCTTCTGAGTCACTGAGATGATAGGCATGTGCCACTGAGCCTGGCTAAAGCTTTCTTTTCTTAAGGGATCCTGGGAGCCATTGCTCGCACGGCGCTGGGCACGTGCCCTCCCTGCCGCCCTTGCGGTTCCAGGTGCCTGGCTGCCCTGAGTGCTATGTCAGCCACACAGTCGATCTTCTTTTGTTACCTTCTCCAGTGGGGGATAGTTTACATTATTTTCCCCACTTATTAAAAAGCAAGAAACTTTGAGAACTAAAGTTTTTTTTAATACTTATTTTTTAGTTGGGACACAACACCTTTATTTTGTTTGTCTGTGTGCTTATTTATTTATTTATTTGTTGTAACTAGACACAATATCTTTATTTTATTTATTTTTATGTGGTTCTCAGGATGGAACCCAGGGCCTCGCATGTGCTAGGTGAGAGCTCCACCACTGGGCCACAACTCCAGCCCAATAACTAAAATTTTAAAACCTTAGAAATGTCTTATTTATTTTAAAGAAAAGCCTCTCTGCCTGGCCTTTAAATTGCTTAACTTGAAAGTAGTTTGAGAAGAGTAGGTGTGCTTATGTCTTGAAAGGAAGAGCTGACCTGAGACAAGGATGCTGGAGCCTCATCTGTCAGCCACCTAACCCACATTGGCGTCTTCTTTCATCTCACTCTTCTCTCCAAATTATGGGTTTCTTCTTCCTTCCCCTTACCACCTCCCACCACTCTTGATTTCAAGCACATTGTAGTATTCTCTTGTAGGAAATCAGGAACCCTCAAGAATCTGGTTAGTAACAGAACCACTGCCCATCCTGTTCTGTGACCAGGCCTTTAGAATGGTGGTGATTGGCATTAGGCTGGTTTATGTAGTATTATCCACAAGGTGGTGCTATAGGAAAACTGAGAAGTCCTGTCTCCAAGGATTTGCCTTTCCTGCTTTTGGAACCTCATTTGAAAATTAAATTTGGTTTAAGTCAGCATGGACTTTTGTAAAATTAACCAGTTGATTTATACACACAAAAGAAGATGGAACTTTTCAGGAGACATTACAACATATATCATGTATATTCATGTGTCCTCCCTTCCCCAAGAGTACCTGTGTAACCTTAATACTTCTTTAGACCATGTTTGTTTTCTTGTTTTCATTTTAAATTCTCATCTAATGTAAAAGTAAGGATTTTTCACTTGAGAGGAAAGTTCTAAGCTTGTGTTTCCCATCAGATGTTTCTTGTTGGAGATTTGAGATATTTAGTTTTCTTGTTGTTGATTTTAGATATCCATCTTTCTTTTTTCATTAATTGGATCACTTTGAGTTTCATTTTGTGACTGAGGTTGGTTTTGTTGCTTGGTCAATTAGTTACCTTCTTTTTTTGTTCCTCATATAACATGAAAAGTAGCTAATACAAGTAGATTGGAGAAATTAAGTTCCTGGAAATTAAGGGAAGATTGGTAAAGATTACATGTGCCTTTAGAAAAGGTAACCTACTTAATTTAAAATTTTAAGATTTAAACAAAACTGAGGCTACTTAATTTCAGCCTCTTGTGTGAAGATGTGTCTTTTCCTTGACATCCTCGGCAGGTGGGGACAACAGATCTGGCAGTAAGCAGGTACCTTGGGCATGGCACCTGAGCATGTTGCTGCATGTCTCCAAAGTTGGGACTCATTCTGATTCACCATTTTTCTCTCCACAGACATACAATTTTTGCCAGCAACACTTCCTCTTTGCAGATCACAAGCATAGCCAATGCCACCACCAGACAAGACCGATTTGCTGGCCTTCATTTCTTCAACCCAGTGCCCCTGATGAAACTTGTAGAGGTCAGTGGGTATCTGCTTGTGTCTTGCTCTCCAGTACTTGGCTTCTGAGTCTCCTGGCCCTGCTACTGGGGATTATGTTGGATGGGTTTTAATGGGAGGGTGGAAGATTGTCCTGTGCTTGTGCTTCTCTTGTCCTTTTCAGGGCCAAAGGAAGAAAAAGCACCTAGAAAGGTGCCTGTAATTTGTGTCTTTACAATCCTGTGTTTGGAGGGCTATGGAATGTTATTGTTAGGTTGTGGCATTGCTGAGAAAGGTATCAATCAGTTTGGGAGGCAGCACTAAAGACCACTGGCTTGATGAGACCATGGAGGGGAGACCCACACACATTCATACTGTCTTGCTGAGGTCAGCTTGCTCCATGCTATAGATGGAATTTTTATTAAATCTCATGTACTACCTTGTCCACCATTCCTGGGGTGAATTCTGGCCCCATATGCCTTAAATTATCCCCAGAGGAGGCATATCTCTATGTTGTGATCAGAACTGTTCAGAGCAGCTTCCGATAACCTGGGAGCCTCCTGTCCACAAAGTTGAGAGGTGGAAGTAAAGGCCAGGCAGGATTACCTATAGTGTTCCTCTTTGGGCTGCTTCTGCTTGCTTGCTTAGAGACTTGGGTGTAAGGGAGATGGAGTCACAATAGACAATTTGCACCTTAAATGTGGCAACTTGCTCTTTACAGGGGCTAATTATAGGGTCAGAGGAGCAGCTGCTATTAAAGCAGCATTTGTTCTGAGGTTGAGGAGTTATTGCCGTGTGAAGTGTGGGGGACGCTGCCTGTGTGGAGTCAGGCAAGCTTCCAGAGACTGACTGTGGCCTTACTGCCAAAGTGTGGACTTGGTCTGTCTGCTCACTGCTGCCTTCTTTCTCCTCCAGCCCCCTTTCCTTCCTTTATTCCCTCACTGCCTACCTTCCCCAGTATAGCCATTTTGTGATCATCAATCATAATGATGACTCTTATTAGACCTTTGTCTCAAGTGACAGCTCTGATGCTTCTTCAGCTTCTTCCAATTTACTCATTAGGCTGATTTTAAAGAAGTTTAGCAAAGAAAAATAGCATTTACTCTTACGCAGTAAAAGCAAAGAAATGGAATAAATTTTCAACATTTTAGTATGTAGGAACTAATTATTTACTGTATCATATGTATACTTGTTTGGAGATAAAGACACTTTCTGTAGAGTTACTTTAAATGCTAATAATGTTTCAACTGCATTTATCTAATACTGACTATGTCTTTAGAGATGTAGTATGTTAACAGATGATGCTTAGCAAATGTTATTTTCTAGAAACATTTTGTTAAAGTGCTCTATTTAATTTTTATTTTTTAGCTTCAGCTCTTATATATATATATATATATATTGCTGGTGGTGAGCACCAGAATGAATTGTGTGGTAAGCTGAGTGGCTCACCACCTTGAGACTGAACTTGTTGGAACTATAGATAGCCTCAGTGATATAGCAAGTGCTGTATCACTGAGACTATCTATAGCACATTGCTATATGTTGAACACATCCCTCCCCTTTACAAGAACAGAACTTTATTGTTGACTCCTTTAACCCAATAACTTATTTTTAAGATTCCATAGTTAACATAGTTCCATTTAACTAGAATAAGCCTAGCTCATTTTGTGTAGGTCTGATACAGACTTTTCAGGAACAGCTTCAGGATTGCTGTTCACAGGGTCTGTGAACCTACAGGTCAGTTTCTTGTTGCTTTTGTCCTGCTCCTTGTCTTTGTCTTTCTGATGCTTGTTTCTTTTTCTACTCATTAACTTTACTCAGTGTCAGAACATGCCACCACACCCAGGCTGTGATCACCTAGAACATGAGCAGTCATGATCCTTTGTTCTTTAACCCTGCATTAACATTAGCTCATTAAGCCAGGCACTTCTCTGGCCCCCCTAGGAAGGAGGACCTATTATGTATGAAGATGCCCATTTCATAGGAGAGAGGTAAGCCACTTGCCCAAGGTAACATAAAGGATCTGATGTAAAAGCCATACCTCCTCACTTTAACTCTACTGGAAGTTCTTTACTGGCATTTAAATTGTGTGTGTGTTTAAATTCACCTGAGTCTCTACATTTACCCAAATCTAATTCCTTACAGGTGAATCCTATAAGTGCTTACTGGCAGTGTTCTTGGTACCACCTCCTCTCCACCTGAGTGGGGTAGCAGCTGTACCCTTGTGTGCACCACAGGGCAGGGAAGGAGGGCTGCTGGAGCAGGTGGCAGGACCTGGTCCTGTTGGCTTCTTCTTGGGAGGATTCTGTTCAAAAGCAAAGGGGGATGTGGGCCCTAGGGCATCTGTGTAGGAGAAGGAGGAATAGTGGAAGGGTTTCACATCTAGGAGGCCAGGAGGAAATCACTCCTTGAGCAAATCACTCCTTTTGCTGGAGCTTTCTCTATAGTAGGAGAAAGTGAGGTTCTGTGCAGACAGCTGTAAGGGCAGTCTCCACACTCTCCTACCCTCCACCACCCTGAAGGGCTACTAAAACAATAAGAAAAGCCAGCATTTCCTGAGCCCTTCATACCTGCTCAGAGCTGTGCTTAGTGCTTTACCCCCATTTTAATTTTTTTCTCACTTCATTGAGATAGATAGATTGATTTTAGTGTCAATTCACCTTGAAGAAACAGCCAGTAAGTAGTAAAACAGGGGATTTTTGTTTGTTTTGAGACATGGTCTTACTAAGTCCTTAGGGCCTCATTAAACTTTCTGAGATTGGCTTTAAACTTGTGAATCTCCTGCCTCTGCCTCCTAAGCTGCTGGGATTACAGGTGTGTACCACTGCACCTAGAGCAACTGGTATTTGAATTCAGGACTGTCTCAGTGACAGACCTGTAGAACTGTCCTGTACCCTCCCTCTGCCCAATACTTTCTCCACTTACATTGTAAGCCTTGATTTTTTTGCATTTTATAGTATTTCACTATCTTAAAATAGACATTTTGGTAAACATTTTGTTTTTGGCTTAAGATCTCTATTTTTATGCTGAAACTAAAATTGTTTTTGCCATCTGTATGGACCCTGTCAAATCAGTGTTTCCTTGAATCATTCTATGATTCATTGCACTTGTTTGCTGCTTTCCAGACATAATTCTTTGCTTTGCATTTCCAGGTCATTAAAACACCAATGACAAGCCAGAAGACATTTGAATCTCTGGTGGACTTTAGCAAAGCCTTGGGAAAACATCCCGTTTCTTGCAAGGTAGAGTATGGGTAGTCTGTTTTCAGTTACTATGACAAAATACCTAAGGCAGACTAACTTCATAAAGAAGAGAGGTTTATTTAGCATACAGTTCTGGAGATTCAAAGGCATGGTGTTAGCTAGCATCAGCATCAGCTCATGGCTGATGGTGTCACATTGACCAGAGCATATACAGGAGGAATCATATGTCTACATAGGAAGCCAAGGAGAGACTCCGATCATGCCTAGGCTTTTTATAACAACTCATTCTTTGAAGAATTCATTCCAGAAAACCAGTAATTCCTTCCAAGTGAGTTCCTGCAATAACCTAAGAACCCCCTGCTAGGCTTTACCTCTTAAAGGTTCCACACCATCTCTCAGGGGTCCAGGCTCCCAAACCACCAACCTCTAGGGAGACAAACAGCATCCAAACTGTAGGTAGCTTGGGAAGGAGGTGGTTTCCCTTGGAACCTGACTTAGTTCAGGTAGAATACTTTTAATAGAATGATATATGAGAGATGGGGCACTTGTTTACTGCAGAATTGTCCATGAGCCATAAGATCAGGTTGTACCTTCATTCTGGTTTTTGGGCAAGGAAACCAGACTCCTGACCTGTGCCCAGGGCCATCAGGTAGATAGTCTTGAGATTCAAATAGATCTTAGGGCTCTAGCTGAATAGAAGACTTGGGAGTTCTCTCTGGGCCCTGGTTTTTGTCTATAGATAAGCAGTTATATTTTCTTTTCTTTTTTTTTTTTTTTTTTTAGAGAATATTGATTTTTTTTCTTTTTTTTTTAGTTTTTTGGCGGACATAACATCTTTGTTTGTATGTGGTGCTGAGGATCGAACTCGGGCCGCACGCATGCCAGGCGACCGCGCTACCGCTTGAGCCACATCCCCATCCCAAGCAGTTATATTTTCATACATGGTTTTTGTGGCCCACTAGCTTTACCTGCTGTTGGCCCTTGAGACTCAGGAACGCTTTATGTCAGTTACAGCTTGCTGGACACATACATCTGTAACAGAAACCTATGAAAAGAACTTTTGAAAAGAACACTGCAGATAGTTAGGGATACAATGACACAGGAAGAGACCAACCTGATTAACCTGTAGCATTAAGGAAGTGCTTCTCTATAGAATGTAGCATTATGTTTTCCATTGAAAACCATGTTGAAGGGAAAGCAGGCTTGACCTTCAGTTTAAACCCCTTTTCCTAAGATACCCAGTTATTATTTGTAAAATGATCCCAGTTATTGGTGTCTGTCATTTTGATTACCTTCAGGTGTGCATTTGACTTTAGTTCCCCATTTAGTTTTCCAATTACCTTCATCCTCCCCAAACTTAGGGACTATACTTCTGCATGACTTTGCAGTTTTTTTAAAAAAGGTACAAAATGCCACACCATTCAAAGTTTTATAAATAAGTTGTGACCTTTATTTGTCATGATTTTTTGTATCTTTATGGTTCTTTCTTGGCATACTTTTCTAAAATAGTCTTACATTTGAACTTATAGTATTGTATTAACCCACAAAAAGTCATATCATCCATGAATCATCTGAACAAGACATATGTTGATGTAGGCCTCATTAAGCCAAAGACTTGTATATGCTGGTCCCCCTAGTCCACCAGTCTGGTGTTATTAGGAAGTCTCAGTAGTTTTTATTGTTGTTTTGCAGTATTGGAATTAAAACCAGGGTTTTACATATACTAGGCAAGTGCTGTATCACTGAGTTATATCCTCAGCCCCCACTTTTTTTTCTTGTATTCAGCTACTTTTTTTTAATTTTAAAAATTAATGTATTCTAATTAGGTATACACAACCGCAGAATGCATTTTGATTCATCGTAAACAATTGTAGCACAACTTTTCATTTCTTAACACCATGTTAAGTTGCACCATATGTGCAGTCATGCATGTATCTAGGGGTAGTAATGTCCATCTCATTCCATCTTTCCTGTCCCTGGGCCCCCTTTCCACTCTCCTTTGTACAAAGTTGCCCCATTTTCCCCATGCCTCCCCTATGGATCAGCATCCACTTATCAGAGAGCATTCAGCCTTCGGTTTTGGGGGATTGGTTTACTTCGCTTAGCATGATATTCTTCAGCTCCATCCATTTACCTGCAAATGCCATAATTTTGTTCTCTTTTAATGCTGAATAATATTTCACTGTGTATATCCACAGTTCTTTATCCATTCATCTATTGAAGGGCATCTAGGTTGCTTCCACAGTTTAGCTATTGTGAATTAGCTGCTATAAACATTGATGTGGCTGCATTACTATAACATGATGCTTTTAAGTTCTCTCAGTTAGACCAAGGAGTGGGATAGCTGGGTCAAATGGTGGTTCCATTCCAAGTTTTCTAAGGAATCTCCATACTGCTTTGCAGATTGGTTGTACCAATTTACAGTCCCACCAGCAAGGTATGTGTGTGCCTTTCCCCCACATCCTCACCAACACTTATTGTTGTTTGTATTCTTGATAACTGCCGTTCTGACTGGCAAAGATGAAATCTTAAGAGTAGTTTTGATTTGCATTTCTCTAATTACTAGAGATGTTGAACATTTTTTTCATATATTTATTGATCGATTGTATATCTTTTTCTGAGAAGTGTCTGTTCACCTCATTAGCCCATTTATTGATTGGGTTGTTTGTGTTTTTGGTGTTAAGTTTTTTGAGTTCTTTATGTATCCTGGAGATTAGTGCTGTATCTGCGCGTGTGGCAAAAATTTGTTTTCAAAATGTAGGCTCTCTCTTCACTTCATTGATTGTTTCTTTTGCTGAGCGAAGCTTTTTGGTTTGAATCCATCCCATTTATTGATTTTTTATTTTATTTCTTGCACTTCAGGAGTCTTATTAAGGAAGTTGGGGCCTAATCTGACGTGATAAAGATTTGATCCCCAGGTCCTTTTTAAATTTTATTTTGAGACAGAATCTTACTAAGTTTAAGTTGCCTGAACTTGGTGTAGATGGAACCACAGGTGTGTGCCACCACACCTGGCTGGGAGTCTCTCTCTCTCTCTCTCTCTTTTTTTTTTTTAAGTTGTAGATGGACCCAATACCTTTATTTTATTTTTGTATTTTTATGTGGCTGAGGATCGAACCTAGTGCTGCACATGTGCTGGGCAGGTGCTCCACTGAGCCACATCCTAGCCCAGGAGTCTCATTTTTGAACACTCATTTTTTATTTGACTGGTTCTGTGGTTTTACATCACTTGGATTTGAAAAAAAGCACATTGATAACTGGATGTTATATTTGTACTTTCTTACCCATTTTTGCTTTGTTAGTGGAAGAAAGTAGTAATTGTGTTAGAAAGAACTAAACTTTAGGCAAATCAGAAACTAGTGCTAGAAATGCAGGAAAAGGCCGGTAATTATCCTCAGCATATAATCATTAATTCATGGAGAGTGTGGATTCTTTCTCCCCTCAGAGTAGCTATGGCAGCTTCAGGGACAGGAAGCCTTTGGTTTCTGAAAATTGAGCTTGTTAGATAATTGGGAAACACATCTGTGTGATATTTTGAGGCTCTCTGTGAGTCAATGGGTCATGCATTCAAGCTCTTGATGAGACATGTCCTGGCAGCACATAGAATGAAGCACATAGTACATACTGTCATATGCTACATAACACTGTCAGTCAGTGATGGACAGCATACATGATGATGGTCCCATAAGATTGGGCTGGACCTGAAAAATTTCTATTGTGTGCTGGTGTGGTAGCCGTCCTGAAGTTTTGGTGCCAGCACTACTCACATGTTTGTGGTGATTCTGGTACAAACGAACTTCTACTGCCAGTTGTGTGAAAGTGCAGCGCATACAGTTACACACAATACATAGCCCTTGATGATAAACAGCTGTATTACTGGTTTATGTGTTTATTTTTTATCCTTTCTACTTCTTACGTATATAAAAAAGAGGCGACTAAAAAAGCCTCAAGCGGGTCCTGTGAGCTCTTTCTATTAAGGTTATTAGTTATTATAATTGGAGCCAATTTTTTGGAGGGTTACCAGGGACTGAACTCAGGGGCACTCGACCACTGAGCCACATCCCCAGCTGTATTTTGTATTTTATTTAGAGACAGGGTCTCACTGAGTTGTTTTAGCACCTCGTTGTTGTTGAGGCTGGCTTTAAACTTGTGATTCTCCTGCCTTGGCTCCCAAGTTGCTGGGATTACAGGTGTGCACCACCAGGACTGGCCTGGAGCAAATATTTTTGAAGGCTGCTTTCTGATTGTAACTTTGTATTGGTGTGTTTCATGCTCTCATCTTAAGTTGAAAAGCATGTTTTGCCTCAGTTATAAAATCACCTTTGTGTTATTATTATAATCTTGGTTATAATATAAACCTTGTTTGGTCTTCTCTGCATTCTTGTAATGGGGGTGGGGTTGGTTTCTGCTTGGTCGAAGTTATAGGAGGTACAAACGCTGTCACTTCACTGTGCAGTTTACACAGCATGCACCCAGGTTAGCTCAGCAAGTGTGCCAGGTTCTGGTCATCTTCAGTTCATATGATGGCAGAATACCTATTATATGCTAGAAACAGAATACAGGGTGTAGGTCAGGGGGAGGATGTCTGTCTTAGGATGATCAGACTTTTTTTCCCCTCCCTAATATTTTTAGTTGTAGATGGACACAATGCCTTTATTTTATTTATTTATTTTTAATGTGGTGCTGAGAATCAAACCTAGTGCCCCATATGTGCTAGGCAAGTGCTCTACCACTGAGCCACAACCCCAGCCCAGATTAGAGCTTTTTGACAGAAGAGGGAGCACTGTTTACTTAGTGGAAATTAACTTCACATAAACACCATCAAAACATTACCAATCTGACCTTCTCCATAAGCCCACCAAAGAGATCAGTAAATAAAAATCTAAATCTCATACTGATCCTTTTGGAGAGATGATTAAGTGTTGTACTCATGCAAAGAAATTCAGTGCCCGGAGTCATCCCCTGGAGAGGTGGCATGCTGTGCCAATCTGTGCCATGAAGGGCCAGCCACCTACCAGGGGACCTACTCCTTTGTCCCTGCACCTGTCCCGGACTCTACTGTGCTGCACTGTGCAAGGACACTGAGTAGCCCAAGAATGTGCCAGAGCCTGGAAAATAGTACTCCTTGAAGGATTGTTCTAGATGGAGTGATAATTTTTCCTAGGTTGCTGAAAGGGAAATGGGATAGGAAAGAAGAAAAGATTACATTGTCATGTGAGATAAAAATAGGTACTTTAAAACAAATGTATATAGCTTGATAAACGTGGGCAACTTAATCCAAGGCAAGAAGTAATGATCTTCACAAAAGTGGTGACTTCAAAAAAGATGAAGTTTAATGAAAAGTCATTTTTCTTTTTTCTCTTTTCTGAAATAGGACACTCCTGGGTTTATTGTGAACCGTCTCCTGGTGCCATACCTTATAGAAGCGATCAGGATGCATGAACGAGGTACTCTTCCTGAGCTGGACTGAGATCTAGATTTCTTATGAAGTGTGTAGAAAGCAGGGCCACATAGTAGAGGAAGGAGCTGCAGTTCTCTAGCTGTGTCATCTTAGCCTCTCCATGGCCTCAGAACCTTTGTCATTATATCCAGGTCTCCCAGCTTCTCTGTGAGGCCTCTAACAGGTGGCTGTGGGCCTCCACTGCAGTACCAGTCTGAGCAATTGCGTGGCTGACCCAGATTTATATCCTTGATCTTTGCCTTTGGTTAAAAGTATACTGCTTCAAACAAAGAATAATAATAATGTGAAAATCAATAGACTAGGGGACACTGAAAGTTCCTTTAGGATCTAAAAACTTGTATTGGAAATAAGTGACAGAGCTGATATGTGATAAAGATGATTTCTAATGGCCCTGTATTCATACTTATTGAAAGACGGCATGATTCTTTTTTTTTTTTTAACCTCAAGAAAAATCTAAAAATTTTCCCTCAATACTTGTTTGACAAAGACTTTTCCTGTTGAAGGAACATAAAACTTGGGACGTGGTCCAGGGTTATAGTTGATGTTCATTCTCCTGCACACCTTCTCTCCCATTTTTGGAAAGGTAACTATCATATCTGCTTCGAAGGCAAGCAGTCTGTAATGGAACTTGATAAAAAGCAAGTGTAACTGTTTTCAGTGACATCATTCACAAATGCTCACTCCCAGAAGAGTGTCATTTTTGAAACAAAACATTTACACCAGCTCTTCCCGAGAGATGAAAGCACATTTGCTTCCTCAAGATCTGCTTTAAATATTAACTTTTCTCTATGGTTTATAGAAGCAATTGCCTCACTTTTGCTCCAAGATCAAACCAACACTTCTGTGTTTATCTATCAACAAATATGCCTAATTATACCTCAAAGAAAGTGCAGCATTTTGCCTACCTTGAAAGGCAGTTGTGTTTTTTTTTTTTTAATAAAATGTAATGTTTGAGAATGTAGCATGTGGATGAACCACCTCTTCATGGTGTTTTCCTCACTGAACTACACTGTCCCTTTGATACATTCTCCTGTATCAAGTATCTTATGGGAAGGTGAAAGCTGTTCTGTTCTGCTTCCCAGCAGCAGTGGTCCCTTTCAGAACAGACTACCTTTGCCCTTTAGCATCGCAGGCTACCTGTGGGGTGTGACAGAGGACAGGGTTTGATGCCTGGTGGATGTGCTTTAGTTTGTTCTTGGTGCTCTCCAGAACAGTCTGTCATTGCTTATCTCCTGGCGTTTTGAGGCCTTTGAGCTGGTGCATCTCCTAAAGGAGCTGAGGTCTGGGTGGGTGCAGTTTTCCAGTAATCCACACTGTGGTCTGCACTCCTTATGTCATACCCAGACCTCTTACTATATCCCTTCTGTGACCTTACTGCCCCTCCCCTTCCAGCCAGCACAGAATAGGGCTTAGGTGCATGCCCACCACTCTGCCTCCATTCTCAGCTCTGCAGCTGGGTTGTTGCAGTTACTTGTTGACACCCAGAGTCTCTGGTTTCTCCCTCTTCTGTCTTCCACATCTACTTGATTCTTCCTGTTGTACCTGCTCCCTTTCCATCCCAGCTCTCCCTCCTCCTCAGTGAGGCTTCATCAGGCACCAAACAAGTTCCTGTTACCTCATGTCTTCCTCAGGTCTGTCCCCTCCACAGTGCTTGCGAAGAAAGTGCTGTGCTGTTGAGGAAGTTGTGGAGATGCTGTGTGCTGTATCTTACCTACAGACCCTGCGGGGGTGTCTCAGACTCCAGTAGCACAACAAAGCCTCTGTAGATGCTCTGTGACTTCATTTCCCACTTCATTTGAGGGAAGCTTTTCTGTGCCACACTATTGATATGCCTGGGCCATGGGATTGGCAAAGGCTGCTTTGAGTGGTAGAGGATCATTGGAAGGATGTGTGGGCTACTGTCTAGTCAAATCCCCAGATGTTTGGACAGCTTTCAGGACACAACTAATTCCTGCTATTTATCACCCACTCCCTATGGGACTAGTGGAAGCCCATTGCCCTCTTTTGCCTTTGCTGACTGTGCCTCATGGCTCCTGTGTTGGGCCTTCTCATTGTCCAGCTCAGTACTCACTATTGCTCATTCCACTATGGGGAAGGCCTGGTGGGGGCAGTCAAGCACTATTCTTGTGGGTTGGAGGGATATAGATTGGATGGGCTGATGCCCAGACTGCTGTCCCCTCTCAGGTTTCCATAATGGTTTGCTAGTTATAGCTTGGCTGTGGACAACACAGTGAGCTCTTTACAAGAGGACTGTGCTGGGAACAGGTCCTGGGAATGTGATAATCCTGGCCCCCAGTCACTATAGGATGTTCTGTTTGTAGTTACCCCTTGCTCCAGACATGCACAATGGTTCTCTGGTAATCCACTGTGTACAAACTGTTCTCATTCTCTGCCCCTGCTGTGGTTGCCACATACTTTACTCCCATGCCCCACCTGAGTGTCCTCCATCTCCATGCTGAACATAATCTTTCATAGCTCTTTTTGCTTTGGCCTTCCTATGGGTGACTTGCCAATCCCTTCCCTGTGGAATGGCGGATGTCTGTCTTCTCTTGCCATACCCTTCTGGGGAAGTATCTGGGTCCTCCTCTTCTTCATGACCCCAAAGCACTTGCACAGGTCAGGCATTTGGAATTGAGGTAACTACTGATGTGGACATTGGGAGTCTCTGTTGGTAACGCTGAGAGTAGTTGGCAGGTGGTGCTGATGAGCTGCTGGTAGGGGAAACAATGTTGAGACCAGGCCCGGGTCCCAGTCCCCATCCAGGCAGATTTCTGAGTACACTGAGGAAGCTTTTCTTTGTTGTCTATAGAGTTAAGGGCTCTTGCCTGAGGGGAGGTGGAGGGGTCTCATGAACCTCCTAAGGTTGATGCAAAATTTTCTATGGAAGGAATGACAGATTCTTAGAAGTACTTAACTCCAAAGAAGTTTAAGTATTGGGGCCGGGGTTGTGGCTCAGTGGTGGAGTGCTTGCCTAGCATGCATGAGGTACTGGTTTCGATCCCTAGCACCACATAAAAATAAACAAATAAAATAAAGGTATTGTGTCCATCTACAAGTAAAAATTAAAAAAAGAAAAAGGAATTTTAGGGATTATTGATCAATATGATACAACATTTAACTCCCACTTGGTCCACCAGTCCCTGTGTGTGTCTTTTATTTCTCTCTCTTCTTTTTGCTCTTTATTACTCAAGACAGAACTTTTAAGAGTTGTGCTGACTTTGTAAAACTAGATTTTTAAAAAATTTTTTCATAATACACGGTATTGTCTTTTTGTTTTTGGAAGTAATATAGTCCTCAAGTGAGTCTCTGAATCAGGAATTACTGTCTTGCCTAGAGGGCTCATATTCCTTCTTTGAGTATGAATTTGATTCAGTGGCTTTGGGTTAAGTGGGAACAATTGGGCTGTTTGTGGGCACTCCCCATATAAATGARTCAGTAGAGAAGTGTTAGACTGTGACTAGGAATTGTAGAGACAGAGGGTCTAGGATGGTGGGAACCCTAGCCCAGAGTCCTGGGAGCTTCTCTTTTAGATGCATGGAGTAGGGGAGGCTCTGACGAGGTGACACCTGAGCTGAGACCTAAAGAAGCTTCATGCCCCAGGCACAGGGAGCAGCTATTGCTAAACTCTGAGATAAGGGTATGTAAGCCTGCTACCCCCCATCATCTAGAGGCAACAGTACTACCATAGAAGTTGCAGGGTCTTGAAATCCTGAGTCAGATCCACTTTTGAGCCATAGAGCCACGGCTCAAATTTTGCCCCTTCACATGTTCTTCTATCTTCCTGTCTCCCCTCCTCTGAGAAAATCTGCCCATCATTGCCCACACAGAGCCATGTAAATCTTCATGAAGCTTCAGCAACTGTTATATTGTCTTTTTGGTTTGCACATTTTAGTCTTCCCATTTTGTCATAAGTACCTTGAGTACTTGTTTTTCATTGTCTCACTGTACGTCTTTGGTGCCTGCTACACAATGGGTATAAATCAAACATGAGTGAACAATAAGGCCGCCTGATAAGGCTAATATACCTGATCTTTTCTGCTTTTTTGTGGCAATGATTTCTCAGAAGTCTCGAATCCTAATTAGTATAGTACTAATGTCATGCATAGAAAATAATTTGAGTGGTGTTTTGTTCACCTTAAATTGCTCTGAAATTCTGCAGCATTACGTTAGTACTTTCTATACTTTTAAAAAATATAGTCTTAGGGCTTTGGGGTGCATGCCTGTAATCCTAGCAACCTGGGAGGCTGAGGCAGAAGGATCGCAAGTTTGAGGCCAGCCACAACATCATAGTGAGGCCCTAAGCAACTTAGAGAGACCCTGTCTCAAAATTTAAAAGAATAAAAAGGACTGGGGATGTGGCTCAGTGGTTAAGTGTCCTAGGTTAGATTACTGGTACCTGCCCTCCCCAAATTACATATGTCTTTATAGCTTTTTTAGTAGTTCTTGCTCCTTGTGCTTAAAAATCTGAATTATGAAATCCTGTTTTAACATTTTATTTAACTCTGAATATCATTAAACTACTTCTTTGTGCTTTGAAATAAAATTCTACATAGCCACTTCTTATAGCTCATTCCAATTTCTGATTTCAGAGAAAGGATACACAGGTGGCTGGTTCTCTATAAAGTCCTCTTGTGGTCCAAAGGACAGCATGTTACAGGGAAGTTTTCAAGGAAAAAAATTGTCTAGGTCTGTTCAACCCATTTTCATATGTTCATAGCAGTTTGTGAAAGCTTTTTGCAGCTGTGACCAAACATACTTAACTTAAAGGAGGAAAGGTTTAGTTTGGCCCATGGATTTACAAGTCCATAGTTGGTCAGTTCTATTGCTCTGGGTCTAAGATGAGGCAGGATATAATGGCACAAGGGTGTGGTAGAGGAAAGCTGTCAACTCATGGCAGCTAAGAGGGAGAGAAAGAGCGGGGTTGGGGGGGATAGGATGGGACAGCCAGGAATAAGATACAGGAATAAGCACGCCCCTGGTAACCTACTTCCTCCAACCATGTCCCACCTACCTATAGTTTCACTCCTCACCGTAGGTCACTATTAATATATCAGATGGATTAATCCATTGATAAGGTCAGAACCCTCATGATCCAGTCTCTTCCCCAAAGCCCCACCTCTGGACATTGCTGCATTGGGTACCACATCCTTAACACATACCTATGGGGGATATTCCAGATCTAAATCATAATAATTTGGACTTTTAAAAACAGTTATCTTAACTGATGTATTCATGGGAATGTGGTTCCAGGGGAATACTTGTTACTTGTGAAACAAAGAAAGCTAGAAAAGAAAATATACATGTGATACATACTAAAACAGAAACCTCTGTGTGTGTGTATGTGTGTGTGTGTTTGCAACCCATTCATGAATAAAGAAATCTTCTCTAGCATTAACTGATATTTCAGGAAATGATTCCAGTGTTGGAAAACCCCAGTTTGTTAGGAAGTAGCCAGCATTTCCAGACCCAGGGCTTTCCCTCTCCATGAACAAACAGCAGTGCTCTAGAATTTGCCTCACATGATACAGTTGCTTTGAACATCTTGTGACATATTGGGCAAATATCTCAGATGAAATCTTACCCAGTTCAGAAGACACATGGACTCTAGACATGCTTTAAATGTAAAATATGAAATTCTGATTCTGGGACTAAACCCCATGATAGGAAGAATTTGGGAAAAGTGGTGGTGACTCACTGCTGCCCTTTTTTCCTTAGGAGATGCATCCAAGGAAGACATTGACACTGCAATGAAGTTGGGAGCTGGATACCCTATGGGTCCATTTGAGCTTCTTGATTATGTTGGACTGGATACTACAAAGTTCATTCTGGATGGTAGGAATTGGAATCCTTTGTTGTTTTTGTTAAATTGAATTTTGTGTTGCTTTAACAACACTGGGTACTTCATAAGGAAAAGAGGTAAGGCTGGGCATGTAGCTCAGTGATACAGTGTTTATCTGGCATGCAGGAGGCCTTGGGTTCGATCCCTAACACCACAAAAAAAAAAAAAAAAGAAAGAAAAGAAAGCAGTTTATTTGATTCATAATTCTGACTCATAATTCTGGAAAATCCCAACAGTAAGATGCTTGAGTTTGGCAAAGCTCTTCTGGCTGGGTCACAACTCAGAAAGAAGTACAAAAGGCAAACAGTGGTGTGAGAAGGGACCATGGTGTGGGATGGCTTTGCGTTGCAGTAGGCCAGTCTCTCAAGATGTAATCTAGTCATAGGAGACTTGCTCCCAAGAGACAGAATTCATCCATTGACCTAATTACTTTCCACTAAGCCCAATTTTTAAAGGTTTCACCACTTTAGCACCAGCACTGAGGACCAAACTTATAGCACGTGAACCTTTGGGGAATAAACCATATGCATACCTTAGTATCAGATTCAATATTTGATGGCAGGAGAAAGAAAATGTGACTGTCATTGTCCCTTTTTATCACACAATTTGATTTGTGGGACCTCCATTACAACCAAGATACACAACTATTTTTTAAATGTATCCACTTTAATGTGGTGACTCCGAAGACAAGATAAAAATAATTACTGAAACTGAACTGTTGAGGCTGGGGTTGTGGCTCAGTTGTGGAGCACTTGCCTAGCACATGTGAGCCACTGGGTTCCACCCTCAGCACCACATAAAAATAAATTTTTTAAAAAAGAAGGTATTGTGTCCATCCACAACTAATAATAGATAAATAAATAAAGCATTGGTCTAACAATGAGATTTTTTTTTTAAATGAACTATGGAAGTTGAAAGTAATTCTCTACTCCATATTTCACAAAAAGTTGTATGCATTGGGGAGGAGGGGGGTTATAATTTAAGCAGGAAACTTGAATTTTATGAGGAGCAAATTTCAGTAGTAGGAAGTAATAGGAATTCAGATTTTTAACATGTTTTCTGAAAGTCAACTGTGCTACTTAGGAGTCCAACCAGCAAATTAACAGGTTTTATTAGTTTTCTTGGACCTTTGAACTTAGTGATTTCCAGGAATTGATTGGATACCCAGAAGGGCCATAACAGGGCTGGGCTTCGATTGGCACAGGTGGGTGGCAGCATGCCTGCTTTGGGGCTGATGTGGCTACACTAGCACATGCCTTAGTGCCTCATGCCTCTGCCATGGTGGCCTAAGTGGGCAACATGCCTCAGGAGCTTTCCCACATCAGAGTAAGGCCCTTTTCCCCAAGCTGTACTTCCAGAAGTACCTTGGGAACACGGAGCACTTTCTCTCTCCTTTTAATAGGGTGGCATGAAATGGATGTGAAGAACCCACTGTTTCAGCCCAGCACATCACTAAATAAGCTGGTAGCAGAGAAGAAGCTGGGCAAGAAGACCGGAGAAGGATATTACAAATACAAATGATGCACAGCTTCTCTGGCTTCAGGAAGAAGTTTCGTGAGGGTGCTCTAACCAGCCCCAAGAGCCATGGGGATGCGCTTTGGTCAGGCAATCCCTCACTGTGCAGTCTGTTCAATGTGCATTTCGATTATAATCTGAGGTAATTATTTCATTAGTCACAGTAATGGTAGATTCTTCCATTGATAATTAACTTCTTTTTTTAGTCTGTTCATTTCTGTGTATTTTCTAAAAAACTTTACACCCTCAGTGCCTTGGAGCAAATGTTTCTTATGTAATACATTGATTGAGTCACTCAGAAAGGAGAGGCCCTTCCTCCCAGAGTGAGCTGCTGGCTTCATGTTGCTGTGCACTCCTATGAGGAGCCAGCAACGCACACTGTGCATCTGTGAGGGACAGCAGTCGGTGGTGCCTGCATCTTGCCTTTCTGAGAATATTTTGCTGTCTGCAGCTTTGAGCCTTATCCTGCATCTGGGTGTGACCTAAGATGTTATATCTTTATTCAGCTCATCAAGACACTGTTGCTGGATTGGTGGGAATATCTGTGTATGTTTGGTTTCCAGGAAGACGTCTTTTCATGGTCATTCATATCTACAAATCCTAATCATCAAATCCTAATCATTACTCTCTCTCTTTTTTTTTTTTTTTAATAAGAAATCAGTGCTGCAAACTCCTGTAAATTGTCTTCTAATAAAATGCAATCTATTAATCTGTGAAAATTTGGAAATAAACATTTATAATTTAAAATTATAAATGCTTAAGTTATTATAAAAGTAAAGGTTGACGATCCAGTCAAAAGCTATGTTTTATCTTCTCTGGCCAATTGTTATTTTATAAAGTGGCAGCAATGGTGAGGGAATGGCAGAAGGCATTTGTGTAAAGCCTGCCCGAGGCTCTCCCTTTCACATTTCTTACCAATAAAGTAGTAATAAGGGCACATAGAATGATTTTTAAGGAACATCTGTTTCTTCTTTGCCAACAAAGTGAAGTAATGTAACTTAAGCTTCTTTTAATCATTGGCTTGAGAAAGTGTCTTCCATGATAGAATTTAGGACTTGGAAAGACATCAGAAGCCCTGAGGTCCAGTGGCCTCATTAACAGAGAGTTTAAGGGATGTGCCTAAGGTCACCAGATAATTTTGTTGCAGAATACAGATTAGATCTAGGTTTTGATGATAAAGTTAAGTACAAAAGAGTAAATTTGGGGCTGGAGTTGTGGCTCAGTGGTAGAGGGCTTGCCTAGCATGTGTGAGGCAATGGGTTTGATCTTCAGCACCACATAAAAATAAATAAAATGAAGGTATTGTGTCCTCTATAACTAAAAACAAATTTTTTAAAAAAAGAGTAAATTTGAAAATCTCAAATCTGAACTGTAGATGGGACTTTTCTCCCAAATGGGCACCCTTGCATACTTGTAAATGGTTGAGAGATTTTTTTCTTCATTTCATAATTGATAAAAGGAAGATTATTAATTTTAAAAATATTCAAATGCATTGCAAAGTGAAAAAGTACATACTTAATGTTTCTGCCACACTAGAAGCTTAGAAGCTTCCTAAACATTGCTTAACAAAAGGAAGTGCCTGTGCAGCCATGACCATTTTCTCTGCTCAAGGTGATCCTGTGGCCCGACAGTGCCCTGCTCACTCTCAGGTTGGCTCTTGATCTTTGACATGAACCATGGCCCAGGAGGGGCTTTACTTTCTCACTGTGAGCAGAGTGCACATAGAACCTGAGCCTTCATCCTGGAAGTAGCAGGGCTCTCTCTTGCCTACTGAATTCCAGGAAAGAGATAGAACTCAACACTGTGACTGTTGGATTGGGAAGGTAAAGGATTATAGTAATCTTTCTGACTCAATTTTAAAATGCACTTTAACCTACTAAACAGTTGAAAGAACTGGCCTCTGAATTTTGTTAGTTTCATTTCCAAGCATCAAGTTCAGAAGGAACCAGGAAGGGATTTTGAATATCCTTCTCTTAAACCTGGGACTTGGGGAGTGGCCTCCCTTCCCAACTCCTTGGGTTCCACATTCTCAGGTGTGCATGGTTCCTCCCAGGAAGAGCTGTGTGGCAGGATGGTCCATATATAGCTGTTGCCATTTGCTTCAGTGTATGGTTGAAAACCAAACCTGAACGAGAACCCCAGGCGCCTGTGCTTTCCTGGGCTGTGTTTTGGTTGCACTTGTTGAGGAAGGGCGAGTCCAGGCAGTGCCCCTGAGCCTCACCTTCCCACCCATGCTTCCTGACAGCAGCCATGAGTCTTCAAAATATTCTAAAGTAACTACCAGGTCTTAGCTCAAAAACATAGTTTAATTTTTCCCCTCTAATTCCTCTTCACGATATTTTTATTCCCGTAGTAGAAGTGAACATTTGAAATTAAAACCATACAATGTATGAAATGACTTGTTAGAAAAAAAAAGTAGGCCTTGAATGTAGGTATCACCTGGTCTATAGTTATCAGCAAAATGGAGTTCTCTGGGGAACAGTTTGAATAGTCATGAAGATGTCTTTATAAAATAAGATTCACTGTTAATATCAGTTTCTCAGGAGAAATTGATAACTTCTTTTGACACCATTTGAAAGGTATAGTCCTATTGAGTCCTGTTGAATGACAGCATGAACTGAGTGAGGTAAAGTGAAACCGGGTATGGGTACTAAGAAATATGGATATAGAGATCTAGTGTTGTAAAGTAATTTTATGCTGGATTTTTCTAAGTATCAATATTTTTTTTTTACTAACATATTAGTAAAAATATATATAATTCCGAAATTCACCTGAGATTGAACCACTCATCTTTGGATAGAACCAGTATCTTAGTCATGCCTTATAAAATAATATGCACTAACTATGCTATTATACTGTTTACATATTTGAAACAAGCTTTTGTTTTGTCCCACCTTGATTTTAATCCCCTTAACATTTCAACCTAAGTAACTGATTAAATCTACCAAATATAAGGTGTGGCTATAATTCTATAGGACTAATTTGCTTGTAAATAGGCATCARTGCTATATAAGTAGTAATGTATAAGTAGTTCAAAATGCTTTGAATGGTAAATTCATTGCTGTACTTCCAGAACTATACCTTGAAAGAACCCGTGGGTTGTGTAAATCCTATCTTTTAAGTTACTTGATCTCATTTTTTCAGAATCATGGTTTTAACTGCTGAAAGATACAACCTTGTCATTGATACTAATTCAGTGTTTTATTTAAAGTCACCAGCTATAGCTGCTGCAGGATTAATCAGTCTAATATTGTGGGTTTTGAAATGAAACAGACCTGGGTTTTAGTTCTTAGCTTCACTTTTTTTTGCCTGTATAACTTAAAGAGGTTGTTTTCTGAATATGTCTGGTAAACATTGGAATCTATCCTATAGGGTTCTGAGGACCAGATGAGATAATGGCTATCAAGTATTGAGAACACTTTCTAGCAAAGATAGGCCAACTGCAAATGAAGCAACAGTAATCTACAGGGTTACAGACAGCTTAGGTCTTACACCTGAAGAGAATGAGCTGAAGATTGGGAACAGGCCTGAATGTTATAGAAGGGAGTCTGAGAAGGGAATCCATTAGACTACCTGAGCTAAAAGACCTGTGCCCCACATTTACTTGGGAACGTCTTTCCAAGCCTTCAGAGAAGTGCTGGTTGAGGCTAATTGGAGGAATTACCAAGAAGGAAATGATCTGGTGTGCTATAAGGATGGTTGTCATTCAGGTAAGTTATGTTTTATGTATGAACAATAGACTAGATGATTTAAGACTCCAGAAAAAAAGCATGAGTGTTAGATGTTTTCAAGTCTCCTGACATGTAAATTGAGAAGTAGTAGTAGTATAGGAGAAAATAAAACTTCATCCTATGACAATGTATTTTTAAATGGTACTAAGTGAATTTATAAAGATTATAGAGCCCCCTCGCACTAGAGTGGCCATGCAGGTCTTGCAGACGTGGAAAAGCTGTGATGTCWGAATATGGGTCTCCAAGCCTCGGCAAGATAGACACCACAGCCTCATTTCTGTAGTGTAGTGTATTGCTAGTGTATTTTGCCAGGTATTAGAGAGGAAAACCTCCTGGAGTGAGAACTGTACTTCCTACTGTCTCCTTATAAACTGGCGCTTAGAAACACCATGTGTAAGGGCTGGGGCAGGGGCTCAGTGGTAGAGTACTTGCCTAGTATGCCTAAGGCCCAGAACTGTTAAAAAAGAAAATTGGTTGTAGAAGTCTGGAAACTGGGAGCCTCCAAAACCAGTTCTAGGGGAAAAAGTTTTTGACACTGAGTTTTCTATTTGAGGACCTTTGAATGATGGAATGATGTGCCTCATTTGGGAGCCCTGTGGGAGTAGCATATGCTTCTAAGAAGGTGATCTTCTAGAGTCCTTTTTTATCCTTAATAGTGAAGTTGTAGGGAGGTGACGATGGTGCAGAGCGACCTTTCTCTCCACCATGTTGATTTGTAGGACCAACTAGAGGTGAAGTGGAAAGGCCATTGTCCAATGTGGAGGTCTAGATAGCTAGTAAGTAAGTAGCTCGTACACATGCCCTAGTCTGAGAAAGCTACTCTTCCAGCAGTTGGTCTCATGGTAGATTCTGCCATTGTTGGCCATGGTGTTCTTACAAAATCATAGGCCTTAGGGCAGGGGACTAATACTTAACAGCTGGACTTTTTCTGTTGTTTTGAGCATGTATGTACACTAGGGGCTAGTTTATGACATCCCTTTAGTAAAATCACAGTTAATCCCAAATGCAGAGTCTTCAGAGGATGGCACATCTCATTGATATATTTTGCAGCCCCCATCTCTCCCCTTGGGACGTGCACCCCAGAGTTCCTGTTGATGCTTGAACTATCCCCCCCATCCCTATGGGCTGAAGATATCCAGCCTGAGACCAAGTCCTAGAGAGAAAGGCCTGAGGGGGAGGACAGAGATAGCTATTCTAAGCAAGTTTGAGAGAGCGGTAGTGACCAAGTGTGCTTCCTAGAGGTTGAAAGCAAGTGAAAGCCAGGCCACTCCCTGGAAACTGGGTTGGTCTCTAGAATCAGGTGCTGAGAGAAAAGCAGTCCTAACTAACAGGAACCTGAGAATGCCAACATGAGGCACACGGATGGGAGGGCTACAGGCACCTCTGGGCTGCACTAAGCAGCCCTCGCTTTGTGGAGCAGAGAAGTGTGTTCCAGAGCTGAGCAGGAGGCAGGCTCAATTTGGAAGCCATTGTTACTCTTTCCAGTTGAGCAG